CGAGATGAAAAATAAAGTCAAACAACAAGTCAATACATAGTCGTAGCCTCGTATTGGCCTAGCCAAGCGAGGGCTAGGCTATATAGGGCTGCTAGCATAAACGCTAGCAAGGCCGCAAACCCAATAGCCTATACGGGTGCTGGCTGCGGGTGCTAATTGGAGCTTGCTAGCCGAGCTCGTGTGCTAGCAGTGCTAGCAAGGCCAGCCACATGCTAGCGCGCTGGGCCTCGCTGGCTACTGCTAATACTAGCTAGCCCGGGCTGCTTGCCTAGGAAGAGAAACACCAGCCCCACATCACACAGCAGCTTGTGCGGGCTAGCGAGGCACGCTTGTGTGGGCTGGCGCGGCATGGGCCAGCAAGGCAGGCCCAGCCAAGGCACCAGGTACCAGCGCAGCAGCCTTGATGGCCAAGGCAGCCCGCTAGTTGGCCGCATGGTAGTGGGCCGCTTTGTTGGAAGGGTTTTTCCTTGGGGAGTAAGGGAGGTGTGGTCCTCCCTCTGGTCCTCACCTACTCCCTTTCTCTCCCTGTGACACTTGTTGTTTGATGATTGTTTTTCCTTTTTAATTTAATTTAGAATTAAATTAATTCTTTCTTTTGGCATTTTACCAACTATCCCACATTGAAAGATGATGGGAATTCTCGGGAACAATTCCCTATAAATACCAATCATTGGGTGTTGGGAAATTCACTTTAGTTGGTGAACTCTAAGGGATCTCCCAAAGTGTGAGAAAACCTTTGTTCGTAAACTGTAAGTAATCTTGGTCTAGTCCCGTCTAAGCTACGGGGTAAGGGCCGATTCGGTAATCGAAGGTGTGAGACGTCGGAGGTCTTGCATTTGTAGGGTTTGAAGTTTTCCAAGTCCGAGCTCGATTATTGAGCGAAGCACGCGTCAAGGGTGAGCTTCTTTCTTTCTCTTCTCTTTATGTGTTTTTGTTTTATTTATTTGCATGCTTTTGTTTATGTTGTAATTATTATGCATGCGATCCGGTTTTTGTCTCCGCTACCGAGTCCTAGTATCAAAGATGATGGGCTTTCCTTGCCTCTTTACCTTCATGTGTCAAAGGTTACATAGTGAGTAACATTTAAGAATGTTCTTTCTTTGTTCTGTATACGTTTTTTTTTTTTTTTTTTTTTTTTTTTTTTTTTTTTTTTTTTTTAATTTACTTTTGAGGTTTTATTATTTACTTTTGAGTTATTTTTTCTTACTTCAAATATTTGATATACATTATCCTTTAGCCTACTAGCTCAAGAGGTAGAGCATTGTGCAAATGCGCAAAAGATGTGGGTTCAAATCCTACGTAGGTCTATTTATTTGATGAAACTATTTTTTTTTACTAGATTTCTTCTTTATTTTGAAAAGAGTAATTTTATCAAATTTATGGAAAAATTCTTCATATACAGAAGCTTATTTTGCTACCACAAGCTTGCAACTGGCTAGTTTTGTTTTATATGACTTTAGAAATTATCAAACATGGAATTAGGGATGTCGCTGAATTGTCAAAATCTGCAATTTATAAGATTAGATATTGTTACAGATTCTCTGTTATCTGGAAATACCAATTTAAGTCATTCTCGAGTTTTAATTACTAGAAGGAACACAATGCATAAGTATATAGGAAGACTAATATATACAAGCTGTGGCTCAAATTCTGCAAAATCAACCGAACCACATTCAATAGGTAGCATCAGATATGCACCCAAGATCTCTGAAACTAGTGCTGCTACTAATGGGATCCTCTTCAGATTCTTCACAAAGCCGATGTCATCAGTCTCCCAAATAGCAATGATCTTCTGGTTGATCTCCACCATTCAATCAAGCTTCCTCTTAAACTCTGGGTTCTCCTCATTCAGCACAGCTGGGATATTCTGGCAGTTGTGCGGTTATTCTGCAAAATATTTGTATGTTTTACTAGATTTCTTTTTTTCTATTTTTTGTTTACTTTTGATAGAGTTTTATTTACTTTAAATTTGAAAACCTCTACATTGAACTCAATATATTTGTTTCTTACAACTTGACTTATCTTGTAAGAATATGAAAGTCAATGACTTGGAGTTTTTGTGATATAACAAAGTTTCCATAGTTATTTATCATTTCAAGCTAATTTATTGTTCGTATACTTTAGACCTAATGTGATTTACTTTTTAGTTATTTTGATTTACTTTTGAGCTATTTTGAATAACTTTAGAGTGTTTTTATATGTACTTCTAGAGAATTTAGGTAGAAATCGAACTTACACTTCTATACATCTGCATAGTGCTCTACCACTTGAGCTAATAGGTTTACTTTAAAGACCTTTTTATTTTTCACTTTTTATTCTTTTTTATTTACTTTTAGAGACAACGGATGTATTTCTCTCTCTTTTTTTTTTTTTTTTTTTTTTTGACAGAACGCAGCAGCATATTTTATTAAGGAATGCTAGCAGAATCTAGCATAGCAGCATCTATTAAATAATGAGGAGCCTCCTCAATCCATACTCTCTTCTAGCATGAGCAAGTTTAAATTATACACCCACTGCGAGAAGGCAGCCCTAGCATCGTTTAAAATCCATTGCTTAATAGAAGAAATTATTTAGTAAAATATAGTATATAATTTACATCAGTTTACTACAAAACGTAATCATAATACTTACTCAGAACATTCCTCATTAACAAACAGTTCAATGGCAGGGTGGCAACTCTTCCAAGTCTACTGTCAGGCTTCGGCATAACCTATACATACATGGTAGATTGTTAAATCTTGCTAACGCATCTAACAAGGGTCTAACCACTACTAAATCCTTCTGTCTTGAAAAAATGAGATAGTAGGGGTTGGGCTAGTATAATAAGTTGACATTATATGATGTCCATTTTGCATGGACTACATTATTTTCTTTATTTTTATCTTAATGAGTTGCAATACTATATCACTGTTTTGTACTCGTATCAACTGATTTCCTAACCAATGACTGGAACTATTCTCAACATTTGCATCCTTATAGCTAGCCTAAAATTAATCAATAGTCCATATCAAATCATATGAAAATATACTAATGACCCTATTTGATTTACTTTTATCATATTTATATCTACTTTTTAACAAGAAAAAACACACTCCCATGCACAACACTTAATCACTACACATACCACAATGCATATATCTATACATCAAGGCCTAAGCATAAAATTGTTGACGAAATCGCAATTTTATACTGCAAATTATTAGGCATGTAATTTGATTGTCGTACAAAATAAACCCTAAAAATTGATTTGTACCAAATTTGCAATCTTACCTCTGTCGTTGATAAATTTAGCAACAAATCCAGCAAATTATTGAAAAAGTATGTAAATTGTGTCAAATTCATGAGCAGCTTCAAAATTCGAGCTGATAATCGAGGTAATGAAGCTTGAAAAGTGCTGCAATTTTCCTAAAAATTACTAAGGTTAAAATATTTCATAAAGAAATCGATTGAAATTGTAGTTCAACTATGACAAATTATAACAAATTTTGGTATAAATTGTCTAAATTTTGAAAAAAATTTGAAGATCAATAGAGAAGAGAGAGAGAAAAATCAAACCTTGTCTTTGAGAAGAAGAGAGAGAAAGCCAGATTTAGTTAGTTTAGAAAAAAAAAGCGTCGAGAATAGATATTAGATCTCATACGTTCATTCTCTTTTAATCGTATGACTACTAAAAGCTCTTTTATATATATATATATATATATATATATATATATATATATATATATATATATATATATATATATATAGGGTCGGGATCCGGTGAGACCATCCCCCTATATGAGACCATCTCTTATATGAGACCAAATCTTGGCCCTTGAACTAAATAGATCTGACGGATGAAAAGGCGCATAGTAATGGAAAAATCAGTAAATACACCACCTAACTGTCATCTCTCTCCACCTAGCTAACTAACTTCTCTCACCACCACGAAGCTTCATCAATGGCGGCTAATCAGTAACGCTGTTTCTCATTGCTTCAAATTGCTTCATCAATTGCTTCATCAAATTAATCATAAGCAAGTTCACACCGACCTTGCTCGCCTTGCGCTACAAATCATCAATTACTAATCGCATTTCCATCGCTGCTACAAATCAAATTCGCCAGGTGAATTGCATGTTAATTGGATGATAATTTTTGATTTTTTAGTTTGTTCTGTTCTTATTAATTTGCATATTTAATTGCATCAATCACCAGGTTATTGAATTGCATGTTAATTGCATGAGAATTTTCGATTTTTGAGGTTTGTTCTGTTCTCATTGAATTGCTTGTTTAATTGCATCAATTATGGATTTGATTGAATTTACTTCTTTGAAATATTTTGAATTAAATCAAAAATTTAGGTTTGATTAATTTGATAGAAATTGAAAATTTGCAATCAAATTTAAAATGAGCAAATTAAAACACTACACCTGGATCCTTAAATCCATTTCCCCAATAGCTAAAAGTCCTTTCATGCAGTAAATTAAAACATAGATGCTCATTTGTCAAATGAGCAATCAATTTTTTGCTCATTTACCAAATGAGCAAATAGTTGATTACTCATTTATCAAATGAGCAAACACCTACACATGTTAATGAGGAGGTTTTACCATCTGAGGTGTTTAAAGCTAATCAGATTTATGTTTAAAGCTAACCAGAAGATGTATCTTAGGGAGGATAGGGATTGGGCTAATAACAACTCGCACACCCCCAACCTTTTAACCCCCTACTCTTTCATCGCACGGCAATCCCCAAATTCACAAAACAACAATACAAATTCACAATTAAGTAAAAAATAACAAAAATTAGGAAAAAAAAAACAAAAACAAAAAATGAGCAAAGTCATATAAAAATGAGCAAATTAATATAAGTTTCTAGAAAAGTCATATAAATACCTTCTTCGGATCTTGTTCAATTTCTTCAATTTTTGTATGAATTGGATCATATTGTTCCTAAAATCAAGCAAAAACAAAAAAAAACAAAAAAAAATATTACATAATTGTGTAATTTTCATCCAAATCACACAGTATCAAATGAGCAAAAAATAATTGCTCATTTGACAAATGAGCAAATATTTTTTTGCTGATTTAGGAGGTCCATTAATGTGCTATAAAAGCACCACATTGCATCATTTTCCTTAAAGCAAGATTTGTTCCAATTCAATTCTTCAAGCAATGCCAAAGACATAGAAAAACTAAGTATTGGTTACAAGTGAAATACCAATTTTGGTTGTTTACTGCCAGAAGGACCAACAAGCTTCTGGTTTTTATAAAAAACTCCAAGCCTCCCCTTAAAAATTTCCAATTTCTCACGACTTGACAACATATTGGTTGTCCAACCTTTGAGAACTGGAGTTTCTCGTTTGGCTCTAACTTCCTCAATGACAAACTGATCAACGTATAAAAGCTACAAACAAGTAAGATAGAAAAAATTAGTACATTAAAATTAAACAAATAAAAATTAATACATACAATAGCTACAAACAAGTAAGAAAAAATAATTAGTAAATTAAAAATCAACAAATAAGTAAAAAATACTACATTAAAAAAACAACAAAAATTAAAGTAATACCATAAGAAACAGTAAAGATCCAGGAAAAGAACGAGTTTAACGTTCTTCCCAGAAAAGCTTGGCCTTCACAAGTGAATCAAGGATATACTTGCACCAATTCAAGTCCTTTATTTTATCAACATCAGAAAGAAATGTGAGAATATCAGAATTGATATTCACATTTTGTTTCCCTGAAAAAAAAAAGAGCAAAACAAAAGAAAAATGAGCAAAAGGAAATTTAAATGAACAAAATATAATATAAATAAGCAAACAAAATTGAAAATTAGCAAACTCCTATAAAATTTAAACCATGATGTTGACTCTCCACCTTTTCCTGATGATATAACTAATTTATAATATAACTTGAAATTTTTTTACATATATGTTAATATGAAGTATGTACCAAATCCTATTCCAAATTTTTTCACCCATCTCATCATTGACTAACAACAATAATCCATCAAAATATAAATAAATAGAACAAAAGATAAATACATATATATATATATATCTTATTCTGAAAGTGTCAATAGTCTCTATCTAATGATGTATAGATTCAAGTAACTGATTCTATACATATATGACCAACAACTTAGATAATATAATTGCTATATATAGCACACAACTGCTAAGTGCTAACTATAACTAAAAATAAGCAAAATAAAAATAAAAAGTTTACCATCCATCAATGTAGAAACGCATAGCACTACAAAGTTCCTTTTGAACATAAGACCAGCTGAGTTATGCTCTTTCAGAAACTCTTTCAGCTCCCCTATTTTGATAGAGAGTGGGTTGCTTTTGAATTGCTTCTTCCATTGCTGAATCACTTTCTTATCTCTGGAAAAATTATTTTTGTCAATTTCTATGCCACCCATTGGCAGCCCAAGTACTTGATGCACATGCTCTTTAGTGATACAAAAAGGTTCAGAATCTGGAATGTTTAAAGAGCATGTGTTAGCATCAAAGTGATGCACCAACCATAAACCCAGCTGCAAAGGCAGTTGGGTCACCTTCAAGAACTCCATAGACCCGAATCCTATTGCTCTAATAGCTTTCAACTGATTTTCTGAACATTTTTCAATAACTTGAACTATGGATGAAGGGGACATCCGACTATGTAATGTCCCATAAACATGAGACTTCAAATCTTCCCCTTCGTTGCTGGATTTCGTCTCCTCCAGCTTAATCTTTTGTTTTTCTTTTAATCCTTTTTCAACCTTTTTACCTTTAACCTTAGTACCAACTAATACCTCTGATGAACCAACACCAGGCCCTGCTGAACCAACATTAGCAGCAGGCCTTGCTGAAACAACATCAGCAGTCGCACCTGATGAACCAACATCGGCAGCAGGCTCCTTTTCAATAGACTCCCTGCTCATACAAAACAATTAAAAAAAAAAGTAAATAATTAGTTGGTAATTTTATACAAATGAGCAAAAACATAGATACTCATTTGTCAAATGAGCAAAAACATAGACTTAAATGAGTAAATTCCATTTACTGCAATACTATAAATGACAAAACAAACAGGAGAGAATGCGTAATTATGGAGTACATTTCATTATATTTATTCTCTTATATTAGATTTTTGTTCTGTTATTAAAGCTTAATTTCAAATGAATTAAGCTTTTTTTATTGGTAAATAGAAAATTTATTACCCAGAAGAAAAGTACATAGTACAAAAAAAAAAGAGCAAACAGCCCATCCAAACTACAAAGACCACAAGGCCAAACAACCACAAAAACCAGTTCAAGGCTCAAGGTTAACCACCTTCTAGGAAGGGTGCTAACCTGAAACAAGAATAAACTTGGATCCTAGCTACTGTTCACCTTCTAGGAAGGGTACCAGAAGCAAGGACTAGGCTCAAACAGCCTAACAGAACTCAGATAACAAGCCTGAACAAGATAAGCAAGCAAACAACCCACACTAGCCAACACAGCAAGGCAAATACAATAAAACAACCATGAAACTAAAAAGAAAACCAATCTGCCCTAAGACCAAATAAGCTTCCTTCTGTCAATCTCAGTGCTTCTGCAAGCAACTCTGTACACCAGTCTCCCGAAAATAGTCTCAGCAGGTTCACACGAGCCTTTAAACAGGACACTATTCCTCTGAATCCAAATACAATGAACTGCTTCAGCCAAGAACATCAAATGTCAGAAACCAGTTCAGCCCGAAGGCACACAACCACCACCTACTTCCCAAACCCGTCCCCGACCACCTTCTAGGAAGGGTGCCCAACACGGCGAGAGGGAAAAACACCTACCTACCCTCATGCAAGAAGGCATCTTCATTGAACGAAGCTACAAGCAAGGACTAGGACAAAGGCCAACACAAAAAACGGAAACAAACAACACAAACTAGCTGAAAAACAGGCACTAAAACAGCCTGAACAAGACACAAAACAGAAACAACAACTAACTCCAGCATGAGCAAACAACAGCCTGCAACACCTGAACTCAGCTAACCAAGCCAGCATCCAAACACACCAAGGATCAGCACAACAGCCTTCAGGACCAGACTGACTGAAGCAGAACAACAGACTACAGCAGAGAGGACACCCAGCAAACACAGAATTAGAACCTCAGATCTGAAGAAAAACGAAACAGACTGCAAGGACAAGAGCTGCACAGAACCTGCCACACTGACAGACGCCAACAGCCTCGCAGACAGACACAACAGCCTTAACAGAATCATGACTAATCTTTGTTAATTATAATAGTCTGCAGTGCTACATTCTCAACCAAAATCGACGGTAGGAACACTGGCCTATATTGCCCCAGAAGTCCTTTCCCGAAAGGAATATGATGGAAAGGTAGTGTAACAACTAGTGAATAGTGATAGAGCGCTCTAGAAAAGCTCAGTAAGGTCAGGAGATTAAACAAAATTCAGCAAGTTAGGTAGACTACATGACATAAAGGTGCAATTACACATCATGGAGGACCTTACAAAATACTTGGAACCATCGACTTTACTGGTTAGATAATATAACACATTCAACACTCCCAAATGAGGAAAAACAATTAAAAAAAAGTAAATAATTAGTTGGTAATTTTATACAAATGAGCAAAATCATAGATACTCATTTGTCAAATGAGCAAAAACATAGATGATCATTTGTCAAATGAGCAATCAAACATAGATGCTCTTTAAGTGACAAGCAAAATTTTTGAGCAATCATCTACGGGGCTGACTTAGCTGCCTTCCTCCAGACCTTTTCAAATATCATCCAAAACCCAGACAGTTTAACAATGTAGATCACAAAAAGAATATCGAAAGATAACATTACCTAATTTCCAGCCTTGAGTTAATGTTGGACAAGAAGCAGAGGAGCTATTACTTTTATACAACACTAGAGAATTATCAAAACAATATGGGCTACATCAGAATGCAATTACACCTTCGGGATTAGCGCTTTACTGCTATGTTTCTATTAGAAATAAATAGATTTTTTTGGTTTTGATAGCATCTTACTGTACTATCACCATTTATTTATCAATTTTACAAATTGTTGTTTCCGATACTAGACAAACAGCATTTTACAAATTTTTGAGAAATTACATAAAACGAAAATCAATCAAAAAAATCGCAACAAAATCAATCAAAAATCAGAACAAACTAAACGAAAATTAACCTAAAATCAGAGATGAGAAACGAAAAGCAAAATGAAAATCAATCAAAAATCACAACAAAATCAAACAAAAATCGCAACAAAACAACATAATATCGCAAATACAAAACCAAAACAAGAACACTTAGTAAAACCAAAATTCAGGCAAAATAAAACTTAAATTTACTGGATAATCACTCAAGAAAACGAAAATAAAGCTAAAATCAACAAAAAATAACAAAATTAAACATAATCGACACATTGCATGTTAAATTAATGAGCTAAAATCAGAAAAAATTAAACGAACATCAAAACGAAAATAAAACAATGAATGTAACCTAAAATTAATTGAAAAACAGCAAATGTATAAACAATAGACTTACATTAACGAAATTTGATGAAGATTGAAGAAGTTTTGATGAAAAATCAGAGAGCAGCAGAGTATGAACACCGTAGAATTGAAGGAGGAGAGAGAAAAATGAGCGAAAAAGAAGAAGGAGGAGAGAGAAAAAAACGTAGGAAATAAATTTTGAAATAAATTTGTTTAGTTTTGTTTGTTTTACCGGGTTGTATTATGACCCTTGGATGTAGTTGATCCAACGGTTGTAATATGTCCTCACATAAAATAGGGTTCTCACATAAGGGGAGTGGTCTCATATGATCCTATTTCTATATATATATATATATATATATATATATATATATATATATATATATATATATATATATATATATATATATATATATATATATATATATATATATAATTATGTGAGAACACATCCTTATGTGAGAACACTTTGTAACCATTGGATCAAACAAGATTCAACGCTCCACATCTATCCCTGTCAAAATAATGGCATTATTGTAAATTTTAGATTGTATATAGGAAAAATAAAAAAAAAAAAATTGTCCGACTTTTTCTCTCTCTAGGTATTGATCTAGGTCTTGCCTTTCTCTCTCTTCTTTCCCCAAAAATTTCTGAACGAACACTGCTTTGATCGTAATGCTGAGTTATCTTTGAATTTCGACTTGAATCTACAACTATAGTTAGGTATTTGCTGTTTTAATTATTTTTCCTTTGATATTTGGCTTCAATTGTTCAAACTTTGGCATTGAATAAGGTTTTTGTGATTTTGTTGAAACCCTAGAAATCGCGAATTCTTCATCAAATGGATTCAACTGAAGCTATTGTTACATATGAACGAATGATGTAAGTATCAATTTATTGATTTTGGTAGGGGTGGGATTTTTCAAACCGAACCGTGAAACCTCCCATTACCGAACCGAACCATCACGGACCGATCCGTTTATAAACCGATAAATTTAAACCGAAAACCGAACTAAACCGTACAATATCAAACCGAAACCGAATCAAACCGCTTAATGTCAACTCGTTACGGATTGTAAACCGATAACAAACCAAACTGCTCAAAACGGAACCGAACCGAATGGTTTATAAACCCGTTAATGACTCGCACCGTTTATAAACCGAAACCGTTTAAACTGTAGAAAAAACCGTTTAAACCGAACCATTTATAATTGGCTAACCGTTTAAACCGACCCGTTTATGAACCAAAACCGTTTAAACCGCAGGAAAAACCGTTTAAACCGAACTGCCATAACCCGTTAAACCGTTAAAATCGAACTATTTTCGAATCGCAACCTGTTTAAAACTTTAAAGTTTACACTGATCCGATTACAAACTACTTAATTCAAATTGAATTATTTACAACCTAAATACAATTAATGTTAATAAATGTAAATCTAATCAAACGGCTTAGGTTTATACAACGGTTTATATCACCTAGTCCAACGGCATTATTAATGTCGTTTTAGATTACTTATTTATTTTAATTAATATCAAATGTAACATACTAGTATTATTATATATATGCGTTAATTTAACAAAGGTAACAATAAATATAAAATAAATACAATTAACGTTAATAAATGTAGATTTAATCAAACGGCTTAGGTTTATACAACGATTTATATCACCTAGTCCAACGGCATTATTAATGTGAATAATGTCGTTTTAGATTACTTATTTATTTTAATTAATATCAAATGTAATATACTAGTATTATTATATACATACTTTAATTTAACAAAGGTAACAATAAATATAAATTTAAAATAAATAACTTTAACTATTCCAAAAAAATACA